AGATTCTCCAGCTTAGAATCTTAATGGATCAGGTTTTGCTGCTTTCTTGGCCAATTGAAGACTATTTGAAGACTTGAGAAAGTTTAACCACCTACCTAATCTAAGAGCAATGATCTGGAATTTCCAGAACAGATTTTGTTTTACAAAGATCAATTTTCTTTTCTGTGTGAGCTGCTATATTTAGCCTTATTGTATTAAAGTTCCCCAAAACTTAACATGTGATTTACTTTGTAGTGTGGTAACTTAAATGAGGCATATTTTTACCAGGAACATTGGTCAAACAACAATTAGATGAATGACCAGTGAGTGAATTTGGAATGTTAGACTTCCTCTGAGTCAAGATAGTACCATTGGATCTTTAATATGCACCAGAATAGGAAACCTGGAATTCTGTTTAATGACTTATCTGAAGGATGGGTTCTATGACAACAGAACACCAGACTTGTCGAATGTTGGTATGGGAACAGACCTATAAGGGTACCCTTGGGGTCTGGAGAGAGTATTACGCAGAGTTGGCATCAAACTCAACAGGCGGTAGCAGAGATCCATCTGCTTGGAGATTGGAAGAACTGGCAGGAGGGGTGGGACAGATTGAAGGCCTTAATGACCCAATCCGTTGGGAGGAGGTGGACCCCGCACTGTGGATCCTTGCCAATGGCAAGGCAGCTTGTGCTGACGGCCTCAATGCTGAGTTCCTAAAAGCTCCTCTGAGGGAAGAGATGGAGAACGGTGAGGATCTTACAGATCTAAGCCAGGAACCTCCAAACTGCCTTGGAGTTGCCCTCCTAATGCTGGTCAACAGTTCAATAGAAGATGCGAAAAGCACTATATCAAATGCAAGGATTATTATTATTATTTATTATTCTCTTTGAGGCACGGACTCCACGACTCCTTCAATGTCCCAGAGTGCAATTGCGGTTTCTATCCCCAGGATGGGTGACCCAAGTGAGACCGATAATTTCAGAGGGATCTCACTAATCTCAATGGCTCATCAAGCGGTGCTTCGAGTCGTCATTGCGCTGCCCACTCTGGAGTCCCTAAGCCTTGGTTCCTGCCAATCTGCGGCTAATAATATACACCCACAAAATATACAGTCAATTCACTTTGCAGTGTATTCTGTGAAGCTGTTTGAGATGTCTCGAAGGCTTGATAAGGCACTATGTCAAATAATAATAATAATAATAATAATAAACATGGTGATGGGTTTCCGCATGTGTCAGACACCCAGCTGACCCCAAAAAATCTGTTATTGAAAATTCAGAAAAAATAAATTTTTACTAAACCTAAGTATTAGCCACTGTAGATTTGTTCATTGTGAATATTTTCATACATTGTGCAACATTTCTGTCATTTTGGTTATTAATGGGGAGGATTTATCTCTTCACCTGCAATGTTGATGCAACATATTGCAGTACCTGTTATTTTAACCCTGAACTGCGTTAGTCTTAGTCCAGGGGTTGTAACTCCCAAGGTGTACATGCGGTATTCTGCACTCAACCATTATAGAATTATGTAATTAGAGATTTTTGTCAAGTCTTCAGATTGCAAATTAATATGTTTGCATGTGTGTTTGTCGTCTGCTCCAAGTATATTCTTTGTTTTCCATTTCAGCAAGGCTAGCGCATATAACTGTAAGAAAAATCTACTGAATTCAGTAGCAGCATACTAAGGTATTCCAGTACAGTGAGCCATCCCATCTGACTGGGCTGCAGTACAAGTTATTTTTAGACTTGAATGCCATTTTTAGCTTGTAAAATATTCATCAGCATCTAGATGACAGGCCATCAATTTCTATAAATGCGACAGAGGCAAGTTTTTTTTTCTCTCCCTCTTTCTCTCCTTTATTGAAGTAGAACATTTTGATGAGATACCAATCGTTTTACTTCACGCATTCAGCCTTGATTTGAAGATCTTTAGAGTCAGTGCGTCCATTCATGGTCCCTGTGCAACTGCTTACGCACCCATTTATTGTCGTCTGCCACGGGTGACTTGTCACTGCGTATTCGTTGGCCACACGTGAGGGTTAAGGGTGGGGGGGATAAGAGTTGATCTTTAATTTTGAAGTGTATCTTTAGGCTGCAGAGCCCTTTGGGTTCAGTTGCTGTTGATGGTTGCTGTTCAGTTCGCCTCCCCAACTTTTGTGNTTTTTTATTCAAGAAATTCCTTGGTGGATTCATTCTAATACAACGACTTATTAACTTGCAGCACGAGTGCACAGGCTGCTTTGTTCCTTGATAAATATGCGCCAACACGTGTCTGGTTGCGTTAGTCTACACGCTGGGGATTTCAGTGGTTTCTAAATCAGGCACAGAAAAGCTTGTGCCCCGTTCGCATGAATCAATTGGGAACGTCTATTTATAGCAGCAGAGGGATTGAAATAGTAATTTCTTTCAATGTAATAGACCCCCAAGAGAAATGCTGCAGCCCCTGACAGTTGGACCTTTGCACTTAGTTGAGGTGCAGCTGTCACGATTGCAGTGGTATTAGTCGTTAATCAATGGAGTGTTCCTGCATTCAGGCATTCAGATAAAGGTCACAAGAACCTGCCCAGAACAGCTAAAGCGATCAGGCGTGAGCTTTGCAGTATGCAATTCGGTGGGCGATGCCAAAAATAAAAGCATCGAGCTAAAAATATCTCTGGTGTACACAATTGGTTTTTTTGATTATGCATTTATACAGGAGTGATTGGATCCATTCTAAAAATAGCTTTGCTCCTAGCGGGTTGAAGATAGAAGCAGCAGAAACAAATTTTCCATTCATACGTGCAGAATGTCTCTTGCTGTGACAGGAATATTTGAGCAATTTGTTGGTTACTTTTGCCAATTCTACAATGGTGTTTTTTTTCAATAAATTAGATTGAATATGTAATTTAACACAGATTTTAAGAAAATGTTGTGTAATATCTCTTGCTGCTTCTAACAAAATAATCCTTTTTTTAAAATCCAAAGGAGGTATAGTGTTGGATTCCTGAACTGCAGAAATCAGAATATGATTTTGTTCTTGCGCTACTTATACATCTCAAAGTTCTTCACTGGGAACACAAGTGATGGGGGTGGGGTGGTTGACGACAGCAACAACTTGCATTTATAATAGTGCCCTTCACACGGGATAGCATCCTGGAGCACTTAATGACAATAGAAGGTGACCAAAAGCAAGGTTAAACAGATAGATCTTTTTACTATGCTCTAAAGGTGGACAAGTAGGGGCTCAGGAGGTTGAACTCTGGGATGGAGTAGGGGCAGAATAGTTGAAAGCTCCACCAATGGGCAGATCGGGCAGGAGACATGATCAGGCTGGTGTCAGCTGAGAGGAGGGAGCAGCCAAGGCAGTTGGATTACGGGAGGTTGCAACGGTAGGGCGGGTGCACCTAGAGGGGTTGAAACATGATAGTCAGATTTAGTGATCTCGATACCTCTCTGGAATTTGAGCGTCTAATTTAGCTCTTTTGGGCTCCTCATCTATTTTGTGTCTGAACAAAGGTTTCAGTTCAATTTATTGGTCACAGCTCAAGTTCACAGACCTTCTTTAGCAGCCAATTGCACACAACAATGTCTCACAACAATCGTGGATTGAGTGACTTTTTTTTGAGGGATTACTACCCAAGAAAGCGATTCGCCAATCACCTACATACTGCTAGGTAAGCAGAGCCATGTGGAGTAACAAAACTTCCTAAGGATTCGCCCTTCCCAGGAATTAAACCCGTGTCCTCTTGCTTATGAGGTGAGCCCGCTAAACACTATGCTCCGGGACTCTATATTTCTCAAAAAGTTGATATAAAATGCAAATCCCTCCCTCCCCATCCTATGATTTCTTCCACAAACCCACGTGAATTTATGGGCACCCAAGAACTGGTGTGTTTGCTACATTGGCTGTTCAGGTGGTTGTTCCAGTGGGCAGACAAGGTCATGTTTTGGTTCTTCTGCATTGTGAGATCTTTCAACCCACAATCACAACAACATTACATTTATATAGTGCCTTTCAGGTCAGGAAGACGTCACAAGGCGCTGAATAGAAGAGGAGCAAGTAACTCAAGTGAAATGGATATTACTAGTGATGTGGAACTGTGATATATCTAAATAGTGTTTGCTTTTAAGTTCTTAATTTAGTTAACCCCAGCATATATTCTGCAGACTTGACAGTGTACAACTCCTTAAGAACCTTGTCATTTAGATAATTGTGTTTCTTCAATCCTGGGGTTAAAGGACTAAATTCATAATTCCATTGCCTTCAAATGTTGATGTTGCTGAGTATTTTATTTATACTATTACAACTCTAAAATGCACCTGATGTTTACTGAAAATATCCCTGCCTCTTCAGTTATGCATCAAGCTAAACTTGATTGTTTTGTATGAATTTGAGGGTGGATAGGAGTAACACCAGTAGAATACTTCTGTACTGGATTGTGTGAACTCCAATTCTGGGTTTGTTTACATATGGAATTATTGCAGTAGATATATAAAGCTCTAACGAAGGCCATTCGGTCCATCATGCTTGTGCTAGCTCTTTGAAAATCCATTCAGTCCTATTTATCTGCCTTTACACTATAGCCTACAAATTACTCCTTTTTAGATATCTATCAAGTTTCCTCTTGAAAGCTAATATGGATTCTGTCTTGACCACTGATTCACATCCTAACAACCCTCTGTGTAAAACAATTCCACCTAATATTCCCTTTGTTCTTCTGTTAATTATCTTAAATTGATGCCTGACTCACAGACCAGTGGAAATAATTTCTCCCTATCGACTCTTATCAAAACCACTCATAATTTCAAAGACCTCCTCAACCTTCTCTGTTCCAGTGAAAATTGGCCCAGTTTCTCCAGTCTTTACTTATGTCATACCACTCATCCCTGGTATCATCTAGTGTATCTTTGCATCTAACATCAATTCTCGATTGGATGCAACAATCTGGAGCTCACTCAGCTATCCATTAGCATGTATTGTATATTTTAGATTGTCTTTACTGTATTCAAATTTTTAATTTTTATTCTTTGTTTCAGTTGTTACAGGTGCAACTGATGGAATTGGAAAGGCTTATGCAAAAGAGGTATGTTCAAAAATATATTGATTTTTCTGAGTTGGAAGCATCTCCTTTGCTTCCACCTCCTTGAGCTTGATGTCTAAAGTGTTCTCATCTTCACCGGTACAAAGTTCCACATCAACAATTTTAAGTACTCCGAGATGTTATCCTACTTGAAGGACACTATATAAATGTAAATTGTTTTGTCTTCAGCAAGTCTGGCCACATTATCTCAATCTATTTATGGCTACTTTATTATTAATCGGTTTTACTTGAAGCAGTATGCATATTTTCACTCTCCCTGTGCAAGCTAACCATGTTTATAGCTGGTACTAGAGTTGGACAGCAGAAGAGGTTTTAACTCTTTAAGTGCAAATTGGGGCTGAGACTATGGTCTTTCTGAGGCCGTGTTCATTGTCTCACCTGATCTACAGCCAACATTTTTGCACATTGTCAGTTTTTAGACACCATGTCAGGCTTTGCTCTGCAGTCTGGCAATTTTAAAACCATATTTGCTGCTCAGGTATCTGCTGTATTTCAGAGGGAATGTTGCAGCTTATTGAGCAGCTTTTTGAGGTATTGTGCGGTGATGTGCCTAAACCCATGTCTTCCAGTGTTACTGCTGCAGTCATTCTTTCCACTGTCACAAGACCATTCAGTATGAGTAATTCAGTAGATGGCATGAGCATGATGATCTGGCAAACTAAATGAGTGATGTTTTAACTGTCAATGGAAGTAAATCTCCTCCGGCAATGTTGACCCAACAGTGTTAAGTACAAGAAGAATTGTACCTTGAGTACAAATGTACGCACAATTGTCGAATGGAGTTGCTCACCCAAACTCTACATTACCTCAATGGCCTTTATTTGACCTGAACAAGGCAGATGTTTGTTCCAGAGTCAGCTCAGATGCCGAGAGACTTCCTTTTTCTTGGACAGTACATTTGACGAATTTCCTTATTTTGTTAAATTAGGCAACTGCGTACTTTATCGCTTTATGTTTGTATGAATTGCATTATCACCATTTGGTAAATAAAGGCCCTGTGATTGTTAACATTTCAAAATATTTTGGAATGTGTTGTATTATATATTAAATAAAGATATTTCTGCAATTTACACTGAACTGAAAAGGTTGTATTTGTTCCTTGTGTATTTCCAAATATGTTATTTGTAAACCTGACTCTTGTATTCTCTGCACATCAGCTTGCGAAACGTGGTATGAATATTGTCCTTATCAGCAGATCTCAGGAAAAACTGGATCAAGTTGCTTCAGACATCAGTAAGTTTATGGTCAAAGAAGTAAATTTTTCCAATCTATCATTTTTGTCTTACATTCTCCCTGTTGAATGGTGCTGAGGTCGTTTTTAAAGTACCAGCAGTACTTTGGTAAATCTCATGTAATCATGCTTCATATATCAGCCTGAATAGTGTATATTTTCTTTTCCCTTTCCCTAACCCATCCCATCCCAGAAGTCTGCTACCTCCCATTTCCCAAACTACATATGAATCTTAGGGGTGGAAGGAGGAAGGTAAGAGGTGCCTCTGGGGCTCAGTTGGCTCAAAGGTGACACATTTGTAAATGGAAAACTGGATAAAATTCGATTTTCCATGGTGGTTAGGTATTTGAACTGGGTACTTCCTCAGTACTCCATGATAATAATGAAGCAGCGTGGCTCGTCATCAGTCATTTACCAAAAAATTTAATATATGGATGGCTGTTGGCTCTTGAAAATGGCAGAGTTCCGGGATATCATGACACTGCCAATGTCACCTCTTATGTGCTGCCGAGAAATATACTGCTATGTACTGAAAGATCAGCTATCTTTCTGAGCATGTGCGTAGTGAATGCAGAACTGTTGGATCACCAGTCGTATCTAGTTATAATGTTGCTTGGGAATTTATGTACTGCAACTGGTGTAGTAGATGGGGTTCTATTCTGTATGTGGGGCGAGGACAATATTGGCTTCAGCTCTATTGAATAACACATTCTTGAATAATTTGGCACTCTCCTGCACTTGTAGAACCGGACTTAAACTTTAGAAAATGTCTTCAAGAAAAATTAATGGAAATCTACAATTTGCCTTTCAACATCCAAAACTTTTCAAAGGAAGTGCAAGTTTCTTTTCATACATTTTCTTTGTATATTCCAAAAATATTTGTAGAGTACAATTAAATGAGAGCCTGTAACTAGCTGGATTTTGTGACCTTCAAACAGTTTGATTTTGGGGCTAAATATAACTGTGCAGGTATAATAGTCAGTGACATTCTTGGAGCCTCTGGCAATTTGAATGGAGGACTTTTAAACCTTTTATGTGGATCTTCTATTTCTAAGACATTGAGGTTATATTTAAACATTAACATTGCAATAATCAGCCTTGCTCTTTGCACACAGTGCAGCTTGAGAATTGTAGTTTTCTAAAGGAATAAACTGATTTGGTTTGTCATGATAAATAGTTGACAATTTGTAAGTTTCTGATTTTGAAAAACAAACACTGGATAGAATTAATAACTTACAATACGTTGTATTGCTAGTGAAGTTATTCAATTATTTTTCAAACTTGAGACAATAAGGGTAAACTTTTACTACTTTGCTATAAACATTTCCTCGTTCCAAGCTGCATCATTATTCTTTTACCTACAAAACTGCCACTACATATGACCAAAATTACTGTGAAATAATGCTTTAAGATGTTCTAGACACTATATATGTGAACTTCATTCACATATATAGTTTACTTTCGTGGTCAATTCAAATCTTTTACACCAAAATTAATTTTTCAACATCCTGATTCTTAAGGAGTGAAATCAGATTTTTTTTGTTATTAAAGTTGTGCATTAAGTGCCTAACTCGAATGGTACAAATAACCAGATCTTTTCTTCAGTGGAAAAAAATGTTGATTTCGCCCACAGCTTACTTAACCCTTAACGTATATATATAAAATCTTCCATTAGCACTTAAAAATGGCAGAGTTATGGAATACCAGGACACTGCCAATGTAGTGACACTTCAGGGGTCACCACTCCCACAACCAAGTAATATTTTAATTGTTTTGGATTCACCACTTTCTAAAACAACATCTATTTAAAATACATTTAACAGCTGGGTTTTTTTCAATCAGTTTAGTGATAATAAAACCTTATTTTTTTTCCATTGCTGATTTCAACAAAAAAATATTTAATGCGGTGTAACTTCTACAGGTTGAAATGACAAAAATAATCCACTATCACTTGGTGGCTGCTAAAACAATACAGTTTCCTGGGAATTTTCCTAAGGAGATTTTCACCACAGAACACTTAATATAAGTTTCAAGACTTTTCTTTGGTCTCTGCAAAATATAACATCCTGGACAATGTCCATTGTTTCTCGCTGTAGCACTCAATAAAAAGTCACAAGGAGATGTGTAAACATGGACTTGAGTGACTTTTCCTATAATTGTCCATTTACTTTTGATAGAAAGAATGTGAAATGTTTCTAAGTTACTCTGTATATGATGAATGATCAGTTTTTTTCTCCAGATCAAAGTACAGACTATTAGTGACAGTTGAATATTAATGAATATGATGCCATTTGATTTCCTATCTTCAGCAGTGTAGATTAGTGAGGAAGTAAGAGATGCTCTGAACAACGTAATTCACTGCTAAATTCTGCTCTTTCATCCAACTTCCTTTACTGTTTTCTGAATAAGATTTACTTTCTATGTGGTGGAAAAATTCCGTTGTGCTTAATATAGGTTTGATGAAGTTTACAAGTTTATAAATGGCAGCAGCTTCCTAGGGAATTTTAAATAATACAGTGACTTTATGGCAAAGCTGCTGGCATTAGTCTTGAACATTATCCACTGAACTGGATTCACATTTCTGCATGAATGGAGAAGAGCAGTATGGGATATGTTTTAAGTGAATGGAGCTAAGACTTATGGGAGCAGGAAATATCTTTCTCTGAATTACTCATTCTATAAATGGAAAATTTGTGAATAGTCAGAAAAGCCTCCAGTGATTCGATATTTTTAAATGGCATTTTATCCATTGTTCGGAGAAGGCTGCAGATGGCTTTTTATATTATATCAACAGTCATCAGTTCCTTTGTTTGGTCAGCTGTCTGTTTTTAATCATATATAATAGTTTGTGTGCTTGGAACATTATTTGGGGGATATTTTTAAACTATTAAACTTAATGCAATTGATTTCACTGAAATTATTTTACAAAAATAGTCAGTGTAATAAAGAAAACACTAAAGAAAAAGCCTTTTTTTGTAAAAGAGTGTTCAAGTCTGTTCTCCTGCTGGATTTGAAGACTAAATCAACAAGCGTGACAAAATCGCGCACACGGCCTCAGGAAAATGACTGCAAACAGCTGTTCAGCAAAGGTCAGATTGTTCCATGTGTATAATATATAAGCAAATTATCAAGGCAATTAAAATTCTGTTAATTTGAGCGCAAACACAGAAAAGAGCTGATGCATACTAACACTATAAATAGTGCTTTTAATTTTAAGAGGATATCCTTTCACAAGCCTCTGACCTGTATGTATATATTTTTAGGACTACAGACTGTAAAACTCATCCTAATATTTCATTAACATCATTTTGTAATTTAAATTAGCCCTTAAGTAACTATTATAGCATTTTTCTGAACAGCAACTTGGACCACGTTAAAAAGATGTTGGGTTTGAAGGCACACAGTGGTGGTCTAATGTGGTAGGATCAACTAACGCATTCATTATCCCTTCACTTTGTCAAATTTGTTTCCTCTTTTGTTGTTTTATTATACTATAGTTGACATCTGCTATCAATAGTAGATCTAAAGCTGGGGCAAGAATCTAGATCAGTAGTGGCCAACAGTTTTGGTCTTCCAACCAAATATTTTTTTCTTGATTGAATATTTCTTGATTTATGGCCACACTATAAATATCGCTGCTCAGTAACTTCTAGAAAGAAAATATTGATTTAATGCAGACTTATCTAGACAGGTGTGATTTTTCGGCAGGCCACTTCTTGACCACACCCCCCACCCCCCTGGGCCGTGGGTTTGTCGCCAATGAATCTCAAGCATTAGTATTCCTAGCCAATATAAAAAAGCATTCAGGCAAAAAGGCCAAAGAAAAATTTGCTTATTTTAAAAAGCAGGTGCTTTAGACGAGCCTGATCCCTGTGTTTTCTTAAAAATAATCTTTGAGGCATTTTAATGCTGGAATACCTGTTTTGTTTATTGAGAACCTGTTGTTTATTGAGAAAACCATGGTCCGTTAAATACCCACAATGGTTTGACTTTTTTTTTACCTTTGTGCGTAGGTTCTGGCTAAAATGGTTGGAAGTAGCTTTTCACGATGCACGTATCGGTGGGGGGGGAGGTATTTAATTCACTTAACTAACTTAATGTTAACCTATTTTGCAATATTTATTCCCACCCCTAGATTGTAAAAGTCCCTGACGACCACAGAAATGGAAATATGCTAAATAGGATCTTAGTAACCAGATATTTGAAATCGACCAATGGATGGTTTGAAAAGTATCAAAGGTTTCAAAATTAAAAGGTTTTGTGCCATTATAGTTAATAGTAAACTAGTTTTATATGCTAAAAAGACTGAAGTAGACATTCCTGATCCCTATGCTCCTGTGACTCGAATGAATCTGTTCTGTTACCTTGAAACTATCTACTGTATTCCTCCACAGTGACATACTTGGTCAGTTGTTAATTACATTGTTTGCTTGTGTTGGAATTAATTGCCAAATGCTAACATATCGTTGATTTTCAGAGGACAAGTTCAAGGTTGAAGCAAAAACCATTGCTGTGGACTTTGGGGAAGGACAAGAAATATACAGTGTCATTGAAACTGGTTTGACTGGATTGGAGATTGGGGTCTTAGGTATGTTTTGCAGAATTTTGTACATATTGTGCATTAAATGTTCAAAATCCAAAACTATTTTCCATTGTGATGATACTCTAAGGTAATTACATTATCTAGGTGTTTGGGCAATTTATCTCTATTCATTAATTTACCTTCCACATAAGGACAGAATATTGCTCTAATATGTGGAAAGTGGGAGAGGGGGCTAAATCCTCACAAAGAATTTGCATAATTTTGTTGTTGCATTCACCACCGAATTAATGGAAATATAGGGGACTAAAACATGATGTTTGTTAACAAATATTCACTTATATGTTTTTTGCATGATCAATGATAAATATTGTGAATCGAGGATGGCAGAGTGTTGAGAGTGCAACATAACTTCACGTGATACTTTAATTTCCTTCAGTTAACAATGTGGGAATTTCATATGAGTACCCGGAGTATTTCCTGGATGTACCTGGTCTGGATAATGTAAGTATTTGAGCTGTTTTTAAATACATTTTTTATATATTTTTTCTGATTGGGGCTGAGGATGCTGAATCAGTTTGCACCATCTCATTTATACCTCAGAAGTACAAATGGATTTCCTGGTGAAACCATCTCTTCAAAATGGTTTCAGCGGCCAAGGTCCAAAATGAATCACTACTCATCTCACACCCAATATATGCTGTTTCTGTTCAGGACTGATTTGGTTCAAGTAGTGAGCTTCTTACTAGGCATCACTTACCTGTACTCCACAATTGTCCCTGTCTTAACGATTTTAGCAATTAAGATACCACTCTGAATTATTATTCAAATTAATTTACCAGGGATGTTTTCAGTTTGTAACTTCTATCACCATGTTTTGCCGTTTGGATCTCCTCACAATTGTTCATTCTGTTAATATTCTGGCACCATTTGAAAAGAAAATGGAGGTTCTCTCATTGTCCAGGGCAACAATCCCCAAGATAAAATTGGTCATTCACTTCATTGCAGGACATTGCAGTGTAAAAATTGTCTGCTACATTTGCCTACGAAATACAGACACTACACTTCCAGTAAATCATGGGAAGCTTTGCAACATCCTTCTGATGTAAAAGGCGCTATATCAAATGCAAGGGTCATTATTTCTGAAAGGTGCCCCACATCTGGAAAATGGAAAAAAATCAAAACTCAAGGAGACGAGAAAATTGTGAAAAAAGAGTCCTTTAGGTTTTGCCCATTTGTTTTTTTAAAAATTGCTGCTCTTGTGATGGATGCATAAAAGGCGCAGTTGCTTGCTTTGATTTGTTTAAAAACAAACCTGTCCTGGAAATATTTTGGTTATGCTGTTATCGATTTTTTTTAAAGTTGAAAACATTAAATGCGAAACTAACAGTGTTTTTTCCTTCCCTTCGCAGATAATCAACAAGATGATCAATGTGAATGTAATATCGGTCTGTAAGGTAAAACAAATTTATATTTTAACTTTTGAAGTGCTTTGAAGTCAACAAGACCTAGGCCCCCTTGCTTGGCTCCTGTCAGTGTTTTCTCACCTCAGGCACCGACAGCATCACTATTCATGGATGCAGTATCCCACCTCACCGAGCCAGTATGGAACCTTGGTTTTTTGTTTGCCCACTCCTTTGCTTCCTTCAAGGCACGTTGCAAGACCTTCCTCTTTGACCATGTGTTCAATCATCCTGCCACCGCTTGCCCTCCACCCCTCTTGACTCGAACCCACAGCTCGGAGGTATCTTGTGCCTTGGGTCATCCTCCCAACTTGAAAGATGCTATATAAATGCAAATAGTTGTTGGAGGTCTATAACTTCTATAATGTAGAGCAATATAATTGAGGTTGCAGGAATACCAGATCCTGGCCATTATAATTGGGTTATCTTTGGACTTCTCCACTGACCAGTTTGCACATGAGGAACTTGCAACATTTAACTGAAGACCTCAACATTTAATGTGTGATATGTAAATAATGTCCAATTAAGAAAAAAGAATGCATTGGGAAAAGGACCATTGGGCCCATCGAGTCTGCCTGTTCAAAATCAAAGATATCACATGCTTTTCTTCTTCGCTCCTCCTCTCTACTTCCTGAAATGATAATTAACCTGAAGCATCTTCCTTCCACAAATTTAAAAGTAATTTAATAGTCCATTAATTAGCTGGGGAAGAGAAGACTAGATTTTCTCTATACGATGATTTTTCTCAATGATGCCTTGAGAATATGTGGATTGTAATCATGAATGTATCAGTTCTATAATACAATCTTTACCTAGAATAACTGCTGTCTGGCGTGATTATCCACTGGTACATACTTGATGAGCTGAATGTCCACTAAATGTTTCCATAGTGCAGGCTAATTGCAGTGAGTGGGTGGACAGGCAGTTTTCTTTCTGCTCTCTTTGGTTTATCTCTAGCTGTGGGGCACTACAAAGGTTGGCGTGCATCACAATCACACTCTCCCAGCTCACAGGATCACCTGGTTCATATATGTTTTCATACTCTAGTTGCTGTAATTTTTGTTTGTGTATGTGTGTGCGCGCAATTGAAAAGCGATTTACAAAAAAAACTAAATTGCGCAGATTGGAAGAAGTGGGAAGGTGTTAAAATATCCAATTTGAAGGATTTCTGCAGAGTTTTCAGATTTTCAGTGGCAACAACTGATTCTGCAATTGTACTTTAATTTAGTGAGACAAAAATAAAAGTTAACTGCCTTGGGAAACTGCTATATATCTTATGGAGCTGCAGTGCTATTCTATGTTGAGAGTCAACAAAAGTTATGCATGGACCAGACCTTTTCATAATTTTGTTTCACCCACATAATACCCACGTAATACACAAATCACTACACTTTACAGTATATCCTGCAAAGCGCTTTGAGACATATCGAAGATGTGATTAGGCACTATATCAAATGCAAAGATTATTATTATCTCCATAAAAGCTTTCATTTGGATGCAACTTTTAGTCTATGTTTTATGGTGTTGGTTTATTTGTTAATTTGTATTATAATAAATTGTCAACCACCCGTGGGAGGGGGAGAAATCAACCAGAGCCAATTAGTGTCTTTTTTAAAGAAATTCATGCCCTTTCATTGCTGATTTGATCACATGACCCCACCCTTTAATTCTATTTCTCCAAGGATTAGCAGCAGTTCACATCCCAGAGAACCCAGGGACGAACATTGACATGGGTATACTCAGCTCAGGCACTTACAAAATTCCTGCTCCCTCTTCCCACATGATCCTCCATTAAAATTGTGATAAATAGTTGAAGTATCAGATGATAGTGGTGTGTGCGTGAAAGACAAATTTCTGCGGACTTGAAAGATCAAACATAATGGAACAGACATGACTGGCTCAATAATTGTATATTATACTGTTTTGGATGTCAATCCTACAGCGAAGAACCCCAGCAATGAGAAATACCTTTATGAAAAGCACTAACCTCATTTGTCAAATCCAGCTTGATGTTTCTTGTGCCCAAGGCCAGATTTTATTATCTTGACTCTGCAACAATGAAATCGGTCTAATCCATTTCATAAAATATTGGTGTGGGTTTTTGGAAGGGGGCGGAGAGAAAGAGAGTAGGTTCAAGGTGAACCTTGTGCATCATTGATAGCTGCTTCTCTTCATTCTTGGCATCAGTAATCCTGGGTTGTGCAAACTGTTGTATCAACAGTTCTTTGAGGAATTTTCTGTGACTGCTCTTTTAACTTCCCCATTTGGCAGAACATCTCTAACAATGATTTGCCATTTTAATCAGTTATGTGGTTAGGTATCTGATATATAATTTGTCCTTTGTAGCTTCAGAATGTTTAACTGTGTCTTACTATTTATCTGCTTTTATTGGGAATGTTCTTGAAAAGCCAATCATTATTTAGAGATGATAGCTTGTGTTGACCAACTGAACTTGTTGTCAAACATCCACAAAATCCCCAATAACTCAATGGATAGGCCACTCCCTGTCTTGGTTATAAAACATAAGGATCAGGAAAATCCTAACTTTAATCCCCCAAATAGGTTAATCTTAGTAATTGATGTGGGGTGGCTTCACACATTGCATTTTTCAGCCTTTGCTACCTTGATTTCACTTTAAGCCATGTTCCCTGTGGATTTCCAAAGGGATGGGCACATGCTGGATTTATGACATCTGCTGAAACACAAATGTGTTCTCACCTTAGACATTCAGCAAAAGTGGAGATAATCTACAATTACCAACACTAGTGTGGTCCTAGATTGCAGCATCTCAACCAAGGTCTCTTCATTCTCTTTGGGAACTGTCTTAATAGTTGAGTACACCAAAAAACATGTAATTTTTGGGGTGGGGGAAGCTGGCAGAAGTTTCTGAAATTAAGTAAAGAAAATGTACATGCAGTTCATAAAAACAACTTAATAATTGGCCTTGGCTACCTTTTAAACAAATAGGAGACCCAAAATGATACAAGGATGTCGTGCCTGGTACAACCATGCTGTGGGTTATTTTATTTTGGTCAGCCGGGTGTCTGACACATGCAGAAACCCATCACCATGCACAAGAGTATCCAAACCAAGCTGAGATTTCCATGCATCCCACCTACACGTGGAAATCCCTGAAATCGATTGTTAGAATTGAATGAGCACTCTCTGGAAGGATGCATCCTGCTTACCTAATTCCAGAAAGTATTAAGTGTAGGTTGCCAAGAGCCCAGGCTTGGGGATCCCAGAGTGTGCGTTGGGGTACTGCTGGAGTCTAACCAGCTAAAACCGCATAGTTTGCCATTTAAAAATCGCTGTCCAGCAACCTTTCCCGCTGCTTGTCTTGTTATGGGGTACATAGGTTTGAAGGCAATAAGTAGAAAAAGCCGTGCAGCACTGCTTCTCTCAAGCAGTAAGTGTGAAGTGTTTGGCTTCACAAACGATGACCTTGCAGTACTCTGCCAACATCTACTCACAATGCTACTTCTCAGCAGTGATTTACACGATTCTCTTTAAGTTTAACTTTCTAGAACACGGGCTGCATTAGGGGGGAAGCACAATTCAGCGATGTGGAAGTACTCAGGTGGTTTTTAAAAAAATGTACTTAAATTGAGTTTCAAAACTCAGATCATCTCTTCTGCTTTGTAAAAAAAAATTCCGCAAGAGAAACTTGTAATCCATGTGTTTTTGGGACCCATACCATACCGACCTGTCCGCTCCCTCTTCTCAGTGGATTCTAGCCTGCTTTCATGTCTGTCCTCCTCGCTGCCCGCTCCACCATCGGCAGTTGGACCTTCAGACTTTCTGCCCCCACCATTTGGAACTCAAGTCGGCCCCTCACCCCCTCCTTTGCTTCCCTTCAAGGCCTGTCTCATGACTCTCCTCTTTGACCGTGCCTTCAGGCACCCTCCTACCTCCACCCTGCCTGCTCTCCACTGCTCCTGATCCCAACTCCCGGCTCGGGTCCAAATCCTTGACTGTCCAGCGCCTTGGGAGGTCCTCCTTACATGAAAGGCACTCTACAAATGTACTTTGTTGTTTAATGCAGTAATATGGATTTGAAGAAATGAATGATTTTTTATTTTCATATTTCAGCAACAATGCACAGTGTGACCTTCATTATACAGTGAAGGAAACGTGCTCCTACAAGGATAATTGATTTCTCAGTGTTAAAATGGTGGCACAGCATCGATGAGTGATTTATATAAACATAGAGCCAGAGGACGTAGCCTGCAATTCAAGGGGAGTAAATTCAGAACAAAACTCCAGAACACTACTTCAATGAGCGAGTAGTAAACTTATGGAACAGGTTCCTTAGGGTGACGGTGGAAGCAGAAAGTGTTGTTTGTTTCCTGAACAAATCAGATAGATTTCTGTTGGAAAATAATATCTCAAGATACAATATATAGTTTGGGACATGACAAGCAACTGCCAAGATGGATGTAGGCGAACTTGATGGACCTTGGTCTTCTCTCGCCTAGCAAATTCTTATGTTCTTCTGTTCTGTCCTTTGATTTCAGTTCATACAAACTGGAGTATGTTTAGTGTGCACCAATTTCAACCTATTTTATGTATTCTATATTTCTTCAAACGTGAGTACATTGAACAATAATTGTTTGCAGGAAATGTATTCATTACCTGTGGGCATAATCTGTAAACATGCCATTTATCTTGTACTGATGTAACTTCCCGTACATGATCCTAAACGCAAAGATTAGTATTGTGAGTAAATGCCAAATAATAATCCTTGCATTTGATATAGTGCTTTTCACATCTTCTAGACATCACAAAGCACTTCACAGAATAAACTGTAAAGTGAATTGACTATATTTGTGGGTGAAATGCGGCAGCCAATTGCACGCAGCAGTGTCCCACAAACAGTCGTAGATTGAAATGACCAATTTATTACTGTTCTTTTCTTGAGGGATTATTATTAGGCGTGTGGAGTAAGGAAAGTTGCCCAAAGTTTCACCCTGCCAGGAATCGAACCCAAGTCT